AATTCTTTTGCACTTTTTAAAAATAAACAGTGTTATAATATGTACATTAGAAGCGGAAGCTTTCGGATATAAACAAGAAACGAATTAATTAGATGTGCTCTACATTTCCTTTCGAGATGATTCTTTGCAGTTTTTTGCTGGCGATTAGACGGAAGTAATTTGAATAGATTGCATCGTAAACTGAATACTTTAATTGTTAAATAGTTGAATAATTACCTTCTGTTTATGTCACTTGCGTACTTTCGCTAGCATTTTTAGAAACCAATAAAACTGGCCTAGAAAAGGTCTTTTAATCTGTAATAAAACGTCTTCATTTTCATTGTTATTTTATAAATTTTAAAACGCAAAATAATTGTGATGAAGCTCAGTATCCTAGAAATAATTTTTTGTTTCAAATAATTATAATCTATATAAAAAATTTAAGTGGAAGCAAAACCATTAATTGGAATGTTTATTAATTCAAAATGCGCGTAAGAATTTTCTCACGTAACACTTATTATTTTCCTTCACATGGGAGTTTTGATCAAACCAAACAAACAGAAACAAATTCTAATAACCATTTCCACATTTTTTAAAATTTACATTAAAATACACAACCTAATTTTTAATAAATCACCAAATAACATTTGTTCATTAGGTTTAACTTACGTGTCATTAATTTAAAGTTCCTAGAAGAAATTAAAGACAAGTAAAAGAAATGACTTCCATTAAAGCAATTCGTTCAAATAATTCGTTTAAAGGGATAATGGCGAAGTTTATAAAACCCCTAATTTTGTACGTCCTAAAAACCATTGTTAATTAATATTAGTCATTACTGAAACTATAACCTATGGAAATTTTAAAAAGACCAGAAATCCAAACTCTTGACACTTAACGAAGTATTCGTTATGCTACTTTTTCCTTTCCGTCTATTTCCTTTCGCATCTGAAATGAGATTACAGAATTATGCAAATGAATTCGCCACATTTAATGAATTGAACAGAAATTTATTTATCAGAAAAAATAGAGGAACGAGAAGAGCTCTTTACATTTCTAACGTATTACGTTCAGCAAGTGCACTGTCGAAATAACAAACGCGTAAATAATAACGTACACTGGCCGAAAACAAATACAAAGAAGATACTTATTCTGCGTAAACAGTATGGCATGAAGACAAAATGATAAAATTTTTAAGCAGTCTGAGGATTTACAAGGGTGCGAAATTAGTAGAAACAGCTGCCAGTCCTGGCAGCTAAAACGGCCCTTACCCAGTTAGGCATGGAGTCGAACTGGGCTTGGATAACAGAAACGGGCAACTCATTCCATGCTGCCTCAATTCTATACCACACTTCATCAACCGTATTAGCTGGAGAGGGGTGGCGGGCGAGTTTCTCAGCAACTCATGACCAGATGTTTTTAGTGGGTGACAGATCTGGAGACAGTGCAGGCCAAGGCAGCAGTCGAATACCCTGTGTTTCGAGGAAGGTAAGAACACGATGTGCAACATGTGGTTTTGCATTATCTTGTTGGAAGATGGCGTCTGGCAGGCCTCGAAGATAGGGCACAGCCACTGGACGTAAGATGTCAGAAATGTACCGATCTGCGTTCAAATTACGGTTGGTCGGACCTAGAGATGTGCGTGTCGTGCACCCAATGGCTACCCAAACCATTACACCAGGTGCAGGGCTCCTATTCCGATATCGAATGCAAGCAGGCGACGGGTCTCATCGGATCCACCAGACACGTATACGGCCATCAGAAAACTACACGCAGAAACGGGATTCGTCTGAAAAGACGATAGTGTGCCAGTCCTGTATCCGGCTTTGTCGTTCGACGCACCAAAGTCACCGTCTTTCTCTATGTTTCATTGTCAAGGGAAGCTGAAGTAATGGTCGCCGTGCTGATAGTCAACGCTACTGTAAACAACGTATCGTACGAGCGGATACTGCACTTGCTGGAAACATGCTCATTTCCTGACTAATGGTCAATAATGTGATCGTATAGTTTTGAAGGGATGACGTCACAATATGTCTATTCTCTCGTGCATTAGTCATGGGAGGGCATGGAGTTCCTGCATGCCGTTCAGTATGACAGCAACCCATTGATTCCATATTCGCATGACAGTGGTTTGATGTAGACCAGTGAGACGGGCGATATTACGGAATGATAATCCACACTCTCGATATTTAACGATCCTGCCTCTATCGAATTCCGACACTTGCTGGTAAGTATTTCTTATTATTATTCGAGGCATAACACGATATTCTGAGCAAACTCCGACCTTACAAAGTGCTTTTTGAATGAGAAACCCACTAAACAACTTTTCGTTTATGGAATGTTTCAGATGTCGTTTCTCCCTCCTGCGTCATCTAAATGCGCTGAAATACTAATCATTTGCATATCCCAGCTTCTTCTTCCTTTCTTGTGATTTTGACGTTAGCCAGATCATTTCTTCTTGTTACTGTAATTTTAATGGCCAGCAGTATATTTTAGCATTTCCTCTCCAACAGCACATTCATATTGCCTTAAATTTTAGGACCGAATTAACTTTTCGGTATTTATTTTTTACTTTTATATTGGAGTTTAGGTTTTAAACAGTTAATTTTTACAAGTGCTTCACACCGCAAAAAACATTTATCTAGATATAGGAGCACAAATATTTCTGTGTTTAGCGTTGCGAAATTGCAGGTAATGAAAGTATTAAATTAAAAAAATAATACAATATGGCTCTAGTCCTTAGTTACGTTTGAACCTCACATTTATTCATTTGCATTCCTTCTCAAAAGCGTGCAGCTTTCATCACAGGATGCATTTCACCTGACTAATCTCACTACAGCATCACATGAATAAAATATTGAAATACTATGTTCATAAGCCTAATTTTCCTTTGAAAAGTTATAAAGACACAGCTATACCGATTTAAAAAAAGATTGGTCCAACTTTCTGGAACAATTTCTAGAGCACGGAAAACACTTCTCTAGAGAAATTCAATCAGCACATTACTTAAACTTGATATTGCTTTGTTTCCAAACTTTTAACTATTCTAACCTTTAACGAGAAAAATTCATTTAGTGAAGTTACAGATTTAAAACATTTTGCATTAATAGATCACGGTGGCAATTTGGATTTAATATTTAAATATAGAACATCCAAAGTGCTTACTTGTTCCGAATAACTTAGACAGTAAGAGCAGCCAACTCGCTTACTTGACTCAAATTCCAGGCAGAGCACAGATCTTTACAACGATGGAGGGAAACCATCATTGCTCAGACATTTCAATTTAAGCACCACCCCTTGATCTCCAACAAGAGGAAAGTCATCTGTCTTGTGATGACTCTTCACTTTGTCCGCTTCGATTAAAGGCAGAATAGTTTTGACTAAATATTTAAAATGTGTGTTTTCCTCATTTCCGAAAAGTATTTAGATATAATTTTACATTTTTTAGAAAGATTTTATTTAACACTTGTCGATTCAATTTCAGATACTGTATTTAAAATATAATGATGTAGATAATGTATTTAAAATAAGCTTCGCTCTAATAATGATTAAAACATTAATTTACAAAATAAATTTCATAATTGAAGAGAAATCTTTTTATAATCTTCTTATGACACACTTGAATCAAGAAAAAACGCATATGAGCATACTTAAAAACAAAATGTGTAACAAAATTGCTGTGAATCGCAGGTGATTTGCAAAGCAGAACATGTTTTTCACCTGAATAGATTGCTCTAAGGATAAAATATAGAAACGATTGTGGCAAACATGTGGGGGCTATCCTCTTATTATGATTTCTTATGTCTGCATACACTGACATGAAGGAACTTACGGAAAAAGCAGGGAATAACGAAGATGCGCACGTAGGTTACCGATTTATTTGAGTACGGAATTTGAGAGAAAATCATAAATGTTCAGAGATGCTTAATTGACTTTTAAGGGCTTTGTTTACTGATTTTGAAATAACATGCTAACTAAATGGTTTATTTTATGTGCAGAAGGTGATTTTCATCGATGATACCCTTGTGCTTGCATGATTAAATAATTAGATAAAAATCGGAAAGGCAATTTTTTAAGTTTAATTTGTCGTGTTGGTTTTTACATACTGTAAGTTTTTATTTGATGTTTCACACCTTGTTATCGCTCAGTAATATCGAAACTTTGTCAGTCTCTTGCTCAACAAATGCATCAGTTAAATAGGAAAACTGCATTGCAAATACTGTAGATGATCGCAAAAATTTAAGGCATGCATAAGCATATCTATTCTACTTCTGTCATTCGGTAAGCAAATTATACGTTACCTTGTCAACATATTAGCCTTCACTTTGAAATTTTTCTCTTTCTTAGGTATGTTAACTTACACGCTTTTTATTTTCTACTCGCAATACAGAACAAAATCCTAAGCCCTATTTTAAATGAAATGCGTGTTGTAAAAGCATTTGGTGCTACAAAATAAAACATTTTTTAGAAAGCAATTTATTTTAATTTGCGGCTATATCATGTTCACAATGCTTAAAAAATTAAGATATAGTGTTTGTTAAAAAGAATTAATAATTTCAAAAAATAAAAATAAGTATTTTTACTCTTTGGATCAAGAACGCTATCTGTGAAGAGCTAGCCTATAAATTGCTTATATAAAAATAATTTTTTAGTAAGCAGTTTTCAAAACAACTTGATACTGTGATATCTAAAATTCATGCAGTTTAATTCAGCAAAATTAGATTATTTTAAGTATCATAAGTATATGTTTTAAAATTAGCTAATGAAAAAAATGCTGTTTCGCAAAAATCAAAGAATGTAGTTACTCAAAAGTGTTTTAAGAACAATTCCAAATCTGGGTAGCTATACGTACATGTAATAAAAATAGCTCATAAAATTGCGAAATGTCCAATAGGTACAGAAATTGAATAAAATGTTTTTTCTCGCAGAAAGATTGTTCCTTAAAATCTTAACAAAAGAAATGCTTAATTTCTGTTTCACTTTGCTTTTTATGTAACATAAACATTTATTATTTTTCTGTTTAGGTTTGATCCGTGTACATGACATAAAAATGAAGCGAATCGCAGTTATTGGTGCTGGGTCCGCCGGATTAGCAGCTGCCAAAGCATGCAAGGAAGAGGGTTTAGATTTTGTGATCTTTGAGAGGTCTGGGAGAGTAGCTGGACTTTGGAATTATCGAGAGGAAGACATTGATGGACTGGCCTGTGTAATGAAGACAACTGTTATCAACTCTAGTAAAGAGATGAGCGCTTTTAGCGATTTTCCACCACCAAAGGATTTCCCAAATTACATGCACAATAGGATGATGTGCAAATATTTTCATATGTATGCTGAAAAGTTCGGCCTGCTGGATAAGATCCGTTATTATCAGGAAGTAAGCATAAGCAATATTTATGATCTTAAACTCTTTTAAAATAAAACATGGCCAATGTGATATCATAAATTAAATATTAGTTACTTCTTTAAACACCACTGAACAATAAATGTTTCTCCGCTTCGCTTCATTTTAGAACATCATTTTTAAAATTTTTTATTTAGCAGTTTGAATTCTGCTGTGTAATTTTGCAATTGATTATTTCGCAATTAACTGCATGAACATCATACGATTAATATTTGAAAATTATTTGCAATAGCGTTTTGTGCGAACCAGTATAAATTCCACTAATGGGAATTTTTAAAAAATAAAAGATTCACTTACAAAACTGCTCTTATGAAATTTATATCTACTAATATTGATAAGGGGAATGAGCCCTTCCGTGATAAATTCTTACAGGATTAAACTGAAATTTATTTTGCAAATATTGAAACTGAAATGCTATTTGTTCCTAGCAACGATTAACTGTGTGCGTTGTTAGTAACATGAAACTTGTATCTTGGCTTGGATAAAACAACATCAAAGGGTCAGTTCTCGAATTTACTTTTTATATTATTTCATATTTTTTAACTATTTAAGTTATCGTGTAAGTAATGCAGTTACACTTCAAACTCGAATCTTTGCAACCATAGAAAACTGTCAAGCGACTTTTCCTCTCGTCTGATCTTTTAGCTAAAATTTTCATAACTAAGTTAAAACCCAAAATAAACTGTTTATTAACACATCGACCCGTCTATTGTACAAACTATTACAGGCAGACAAGCAGCTTTCAACACAAGTTCAAATTATATGAAAGGTAGAATGAAAAAGTAACGGAGCTTTCTCAAACATTGTCTTCCATCAACTAATGGCTAGCGAAGCAAATAACGTATGCAAAATTTTGCTGGCAAGCTAAATACAACTGCAGAAATCTAGAGTACAGTAATGCCAGCTTATACTGCAAACGCTTTCCGATAACCTTTGATATTAGAAGCCCATTTACACGTTAAACTAGTTTGCATTTGGGTCGAAGTTAATGAGAGTTACATTATTATTTTTAATTTTCTAGCCAAAATAAAAATGTAAATGGTTATTAAAATAAAAACTTGCATGCATAACTCATTGAAGAGATGCACATTAATTGCAAATCTTGCAGTGAAAGTATTCTGTCATCGTAGTCAGTTTTAATCAAATGATAAATTCATTATAACGTCTAATAAGACGCTTATAAGATTACAAGCGTAAAATGCGACTTAACCTTAAGTAGATTTAAAAGCGACTTATCGCTTAGTCTAAATTTAAATTACAGAAACTTGAGATGGGCAAAGGGCAATCTTGATTATTACAAAGTCCTCCAGCACTTACGGTAACTCAAAGTAAAAATTCAAATGTAGAGCTAAATTTAAATACCTAATATCCGAAGGCTACACAGAATAATTATCGCAAAGTTGGCTTGGAATTCCCCGGCGTGAATTTAAACTATCGGCAAGTATAGTACAACAACGAAACAGGAACTCTTGTCAAGAATAACAAAACTAGCAACGTGGCCATCGAGAGGCAGAAAGGGCTCTGACTTAACAGTCGCAAACCCTTACTTAAATACACATGAGCTAATTTTCATTCTGGCGAAAAAACGGAAAGAGAGAAGTTACAGTAGAGATTCCAAACATAAAATAACTGTTATGTAAATTAAATAATCCTCACACACTTTTAATAACTCATTGCAGCCTTTTGTTCTAATTTCAGTTTTAATCTTTTTTGCGCTGTCAAACCGTGCATAAAGTGTTATAAGCACATATAATTTGGAATATGAATAGCTATTTTGTAAATTAAGAAAAAAAGCTGAACTGAAATCTAGTTAATTTGAATTGAGAAGATTAATTAGACATATTTTTTGACCGTGAGTAGTTGAATAAAATAAGATCAAATACCCTTTGAAACGATCCTTTTAAAAACAAAAATTACGTTTTTAGCTCCAATTAATTTTGAAATTTGCAGTAATGACAGTAATAGTATGTGGAAACTTGTATATATTTTTTATTTTTATTTCGAAGGTTACAAAAGTAGAGCAAGCACCCGACTACGAGGAAACGGGAAGATGGATCTTAAAAGCCGAAAACACGAATGATAAAACCATCACAGAAGAAACGTTTGACGGCGTTATGATCTGTACAGGACATCATGGATATCCACACATTCCAAAATTTCCTGGACAAGAAGATTTTAAAGGAAAAATTATACATACACATTCTTTGCGAGTGCCGGATGCTTTCAAAGACCAGAGAGTAATGATTGTTGGAGTTGGAAATTCTGGCCTAGATGCCGCAGTGGACATCAGCAACGTTGCTAAACAGGTATTCTTTGAAACTCTTCTTTACAACACCAAAATTAAATAACATCTACGAACATACCCTCGCCATTAGAGCTACTGATTAGGTTTCGTGTTCTTATGGATTTTTGTGCTACCTCTAAACGATGAGACATTGAAATACTAAATTATGTGACACTATATAATGAAATTTTTCATATATAACATATTGCAGTATAGTTTCTTTTTATAAGATATTATAGAAGTCTTCACTTGAAATTCCAAATTTGTTTGGAAGAAAGATTTATTTAATGCGGTTAGATGTGTATCCATCGTAAACTTTAACTAGCAGGCATAGTAACAGTTTAATCTAAACTCAACAAGAATGAGCTAATATGTCTTTTCTGAAAGGGAAAGAATATAGATTAAATGGCAGCGTTTATCCAACAATGTCAGATAAAATTTGATTAAAAACAGGTTTGGTTTATATCACATTAAAAACTGCGTGAAAGTTTGGTTGCAATAGTTGTTGTGTTCCAATTTGCACAAGTGTCAACACCAAAGGCTAGGTTACTCATTGCTCAGTACTCTTTTTTAAGGCACCTATTCATTAACAGCAGAAGCAATCGGTAATTTTATATTTGCCTATTTTCAGGAGTAATTGAAAAACTCGTTCAAAAGAATCAAATTTAGGGTGAAAACAGGTCTAGCAATTAGCAAGCTAACTCATTGGGATAAATATGAAACTTCGTTAAAATGTTGATAAATGTTTAGCATTAGCAAATATTTTATGACAGAAGTCTTAAAAATGATTTAAGATATGTTTCCGCAAACTCAGGTTTCTATTTATTTCGCAACCTTTATTTATTGCGCAAACTTCTATTTATTTGATATTTTACATGATTACTAATATATGAAATTAGCAATTCAAAATTTTAAATATTTCTTTTACCCATAGTAAGAGATTAAAATGTTATTAAATTAATGATCTAAAAATTACACGCAATCGTTTATCAATATATCACAAGCATATATTAAAAATATTTGCAAATATTGCTAGAGGGAAAAAGTTACGGTAAATCGATTTTTGAATTAAATTTTTGACATAAGTTTTGGAAAGGAAACTGGTGCTTTGAAAATTAGACCATTTAGAAACATCGGAATTCTCAAGGATTCTTAATTTTACTCAGATTTTCAGCAATATTTCATCTGCAACATTTCTACTTTCATCACGTAGGTATAAATGAGGAATAACAAATCGTTTTGGACTCTTTTTTTTTAATTTTCTGTGTAATTGATGTGATATTGCTACATCCAGAATGTTTAATGTAATACTGATATTTCTTCCAGAATGTTTAATAATAATTTCCAGAATGTTTAATATAATACTGATCTTTAAAATGTTTCACACATGCTAAGAATTTCTCCAAATATCTCGAATTCTTTGTATTCTTTTCAAAAGTCGTTCAGACTAAAACTCACTTTTGCTTTTTTCACTTTAAAAATGGTAATTCTTGGAATTTAAATTTAAACAAAAAAGCAAATTTATATTGGTTTAGATTTTGAACAAAACTCTACCAGTTTTCAAGGTAATCAGACTTAGAACCCTACCTCATTAGAGAGCCTTGGAATTCTTTATAAGGATTCCTTAATTAAGAACATTCCTCAACAGCATTCCTAAAACATGTATATCTAAAGGAAAATGTCGACTTAACTTAATGATTTAATCACGCGAAAAATGGAAAAAAATCTACACATATACTCAGTGAGCCTACTAAATATAGGACTGTATAAGGTTTAAAGTCTTTTATTATTGTAAACTGTGGCCAAATATTTGACAGACGTAAAGCGATTAATCATTAAGTGCAGAAACTCGAGAAGGATGTAAAAGACCCTTTATTTGAAATTAAATAAGATGAACAGAAGGCACACCTGGTGCTTAGTCTTTCAGCAGCAATTAATCGCGAAACTTAAAGGCGATAAATTTAATCGCGAGGTTGCTTCGGAATTGACTACCGAGAATTTAAATTATCGGCAAGTATACTGCAACGCCGAAATCAGGAACTCTTATCAAGAATAGCAAAACTAGCAACGTGTTCTTCAAGAGGCAGAACACGCTCTGTCTGAACAATCTCAATCACTTGAATACACGCGAGCTAATTTGCATTTTGGCTGGAAAACGGAAAGAGAGAAACGATAGTAAAGATTCAAAACATAAAATAACTGAATATATAAATTAGATAAACCTCACAAGTGTATTTATCAAACATGTTCAGCTTATGATCTTGAAAACACAACTTGATCACTATATAGCCTGCTAGACATATTTCTTCTAAATCCCATATCACATTTGTAGAGCTTCTGGATTGCTTCGTTAAGTCTTTGTTATCCAATCGTTATGATGTTAAAGTTTTGTTTTTAAAATTTTCTCAAATGGTGGCCTGTAAGGTGCGATTTAATCCTGGGAACATAACATAAACTGAGTGAGCCAAACTTGGCACAAGGCGTATGCTTAATATGCACTAGGTTTCACAAAGATAGTTGCACTAGACAATTAATCGATAACATCAAATATTGGCTTTATACAATTAAACAAGTAATTCTGTTCAAACACCTGTCCGTAATTGAATGATATTTTAACAGAAACAAGTTGCTATGGGTTAGCAACTTTTGCCACTACTTATCCGTTCGTATCTTAGCTCAGATTGGCTGAAAATTTTAATACACATAATTTTAAAAACTCATTATATTCGTACAATTTTATGCCTTTCCACTGTGTTCTGTGGTTCATGGTATAAAAATTATAAGTTTACTTTCTTTTTTATTCTAGGTTTACTTAAGCACTCGAAGAGGTACATGGATTATGTTCAGATTAGGATCATATGGTCTTCCGGCTGACACTCAGTTCCTCACCCGCTCCTTTGATTTTATAAAATCAGTATGTGGCATGTCAGTTGCCAATTCTTACGTCGAACGTTACCTTGACAGCAAATTTAACCATGAGATATACAACTTAAGACCGAAGCACCGATATTTTGCTCAGCATCTTGCTATAAATGATCACCTTCCCAATAAGATACTCAGCGGAACCATTATCGTCAAAGGAGATGTTGACAGGTTCTCTGAGAAAGGTGTAATATTTAAAGGAGAAGAAAACGTTACAAAGATTGATGCTGCTGTTCTGGCAACAGGCTATAAAATTAAATATCCTTTCTTGAGCAATAAAATACTAGACACAAGCAACAACAAAGCGAATCTATACAAGCTTATGTTTCCACCTTCTCTTAAGCATCCAACCCTAGCGATAATCGGACTTATTCAACCCTTTGGATCGTTGTTTCCAATCTTTGAAATCCAGTCTCGATGGTATGCCCAGTTAATGAATGGGAAAGTGGAACTGCCGGATAAAGAAACAATGATAAAAGATATAGAGAAACGAAATATGGAATTATCAAAAAGGTACGTTGGAACACAAAGGCATACTGTTCAAGTCGACTACATAGCTTATATGGATGAAATAGCTTCTCAGTTCGGCGCTAAACCTAATCTTTTCAAGATGGCGACAAAAGATCCATTGTTGTTCTATCACTGCTTTTTCGGACCATGTACTCCGTACCAGTATCGACTGGAAGGTCCTCATGCTTGGCCAGAAGCTCGTCAAACCATTTTGACTACTAAAGAACGGATCATAAAACCCTTAAACACACGTAACGGAAAACTCACAGGCGATTACATGAGAAAATATCTGATAATATGGGTTATATCCTTCCTTATTCTTTGCGCTGCTTTATTTTTTATTTATGTTTTTAATTAAAAAATCTGAATTTCCTGCCTATTACTCAAATATTTTTAAACACGTCATGTTATTAATGAAGTGAAAAATATCAAAGTAAATACTGTATCCTTTAACGGTGTTTATTCTGTTAGTTACTATGAGCATTGTGTTTGTTGTAAAACATTGTAATATTTGTCCATTATTTGTAAATAAATGAGCATATTGTGATCTTGAGTCTGAGAAAATCTTCATTTCATATATCCTTGTTGTTTCATTATGATGTTGAGTTGTTGTTAAGTGCGTACCCAAGAATTTCTCTAAAATATAAATGCTCAAATGAAGCCTCATATGCTTTATATAAGGAAAACTTTGCTAAGTATTCCAGTAACGAATAAGAAAAGATTAAAGCTCTGTCATTATTAAATTTATCTGAGTTAAAAATTAATGAAAAATATATAAATATTTAATATTTGAATAAATGACAATTTTAAAACTCGATATTAAGATTTAAAAAAAGTAGTATGTAGAAATATTTTATAAAATATGAGCACTATAATCTAAGATGAAAATGAATATATAAACTATATTCTGAGGTGTTCATTCCTAATCTTTTTAAATAAAATATATTTTTGTTAATATAAAACATATCAATAAAACGTCCTGCAGTATATTATAATGAAAACTAAATAAAGCTGATTTCTTCTGAAGTGTTACTCATACTAAACATTACATCATTTTCTTATTCGCACATCACTTCATATTCCACTAAATGTAAAAAAAATGTTTTTGAACAGAATAAAATCTTCATCCTTGAGATTAATAACACTTAGAGAAAATAAACTCATTGTCTTTCTTTAATGCATGGTAATGATAAAAGCATATTACAAAACAAATCTGAAAGATTGCGTTGCATTTATTTTTTCCGAAGGAATTCGAAATTGGACGATATTTAAAGTTAAATGAGCTAACCTTTAAACCTTAGTTAAGCTTAAACCGTAGTTAATAAACTTAACCTAAGTTTAAACCTTAGTTAAATAAACTTGAGTTAAAGGAGCTAGCCTTTTAACGTTAAACTTAAATGAGCTAACTTTAAATTTATGAAATGCTTCAAGTTCTTGTTAAAATATCGCATATTTTTTAATAGCATGGATGGCATTAAGACTCTGAATGGAAATAATAAGCATTCATCGAAGGGCTTTAATTCAGCTGGAGACAACCAGGGATCGTTTTCGGTACATTTTATTAGTTTTTTGAGGGAAATCATTATTAAAATTAGTTGTCATTAGGGAGCTCGCAGGTGCCCTAATTACAACGAGCTCCGGTACTATTTTGCACCTGAACCACAACATAAGCAAAAAATTCTGTAATGAATGCAACAGTTTTAACTGGCACCGAAACAGTTTTAACTGGCACCGAAACAGTTTTAACTGGCATGGGAAAACTTGAGTACCTTACAAACAAATCTCACAATTCGAAATGTTAACTCTTCAAGAAAAGAAATATTTGTGGACTTTACTCATTCTGTTAAGAAATTTTAAATGAATTAGAAACTAAAACAAGGAAACAATTTTATTTGAACTCGGAAAAAATTGTTTAAAATCTTTCCTTCGTTGTACAAAAGGGTTCTATTCTTAATTTAGTCACATTTAATTTGTTCCTGATTTCACTCCATTTTAGATACATTAATTTAATTTAATAATTTTTTCTAATATAATTAATTTATAAACTTCTTATTCATATTTTTACTCTTTATACATATTTTAGTTTTTAAATTTCCTTTTATTTACAATAACTTTATTTAATTACTTCTATTCAACACTTCTGACAGCTTTTCACATGAATCCGGCACAACTGATTTTAGAAATTAAGCCCTGATCCCAAACATGAGTTACGTTTAAGGTATCCATCGTACAAATCATGAATCATGAAGAGGCATTAATATCAGAATTCGTTGAATCTGTTATAAGGAAAACACATTACATTAATTTTGAAAGGATATTCGACTGAAAAGAACAGCAGTAACTTTACAATGTTTTCCAGAACAATAGGAGATAAATGTTTCCTGATCTCAGATTTATAGTATCCTTTTTATCAAATAAAGACTGAATTATAGCATTTACCAAATATCTAATCCTCATTCTCTTTTTCTTCATCACATGCACTAAAAATTCTACTTCAATAGCAATCTCATTTTTTTTCGATACATATTTTAAAATAGTTGACGCAGATTATTGAAATTCACAACGAGAGCTTTGAATAATGAATACATTTTCTAATAATTTCTAATCATTTCATAAATACATTTCAACTTACTAAATAGCTGCCTCAATTATCCGAAGCTTTTTTTAATTTCTAAAAATGTAAAAGTCCAGTTTAGCGTTTTTAAAAGCTGCAAATTTGTTCAAAAAATTGTATTGCACAGAAGCACGAAATATACATTTAGTGATTTAAAAATCATTTCTTTTCTCTTCAGTACAAAATTTGTAAGCGTATATTTTGCCTATAAAATTCTTTAATTCAGTTGATCAAAGGAAAGTAATAATTTCAGCCGTATATTCGATATTACACAATATGTAAAAGAAGTTTCACATGTTCATATGTTGTGTTATTCCCAGTATTACTTTTAACGAAATTTAACAGAGTCTTCTGCTGGTATTCTCTTCAAATATATGATTTACAGTAAATGAAACGAAGACAGATATCTAATGCAGAAAATGGACTGCAAACTAAAATAGACAAATATGTTCACCAATTAATATCTAACTGTAAAGATACAAAAGATGCTCGCTAACTTGACCTTTAATTAGTAAACTTAGAATACGTTCTCAGATTCATAATGTTAAAAAACTGAGCACTCATGAAAATTTGCCAATGATGGGTAGAACAGGTGTCCAAATTCGATAAAAATATTTTTATCCGAATACATTTTGAATATAAGACTATGAGGATCTTAAGTTTTACTAACGTTTATTTTATTTTACTTTATTGTCCTCTCTTATTTTCCACTTCAGGCCAGAATAAATGCGTTGTTCTGTTTATGCAAATTGTGCCAAGTATTTAAGTAGAGTTAGAAAGAAAGAGAGAGTGAGCCTTCTCATCACTTTATTTCACGCGTGCTTTCAATCAGTTGCTGTCAAATTTTCAATCAGTCGCCTTTAAGGCCAGAGGTTTAGTCCTCTTGAATTGAAGACGTATCGTAGTTTTTCCGCAGTTTGCGTACTGCATACGTAAAAATCTAAAAGGCCAATCTTAGTGTTATTTGTCTGTGTAAAGTATTCGAGTTTAGCTCTTATTTAAATTTAGTTACCTAGTAGTTCTTATTTCCTTACGTTCAGACCACCAGTGTTTGGACTTTGTATCCCGAAGTGCGGGAGCACCTGTAAATTGTGGAAAATAAAGGGTAATTAAACCCTTCTCATCTTTGTTATCGCTTCTACAGTCTAACATAACATAGCTTCCAGTAAGTTCACTGTTCTGCTCAGGACACTTACATGTTCGCAAAGCAGATAAGGAGAAATAGCAGTCCTGATAAGCCGACATTGAATATCTAATTACATTCCTCATTCTCATTTTTCTTATACGCAAGGCAGAAAATGCATTTTCTAATCATTTCTGATGATTTCTAATTATTTCATAAATACATTGTTTCCTGATCATTTCTAATCATTTTGTGAAAACACTTCTTGAAGGAAATAAAGCTTTTAAATAAATTCACAGAAATTCATTATTTAAAATTTATAAAACAGAAGGTATAAAAAAAATTGGTTATTGTGTGGAGTTCCACCTTTTTATCTAACAACTAAATGTGGAGGAACCTAAAGAATAACTAAGAGAGAAACAGAGACGTAAACTCGAGAAGGGTTACCTACCTTTTATTGCTCAAAATAAGTGTTTTAACAGATGGCCACTTTCTCAGGGCGTACAGCAAAGCCTCCACTTGGACTTGAACTCAAAATACTAAGAAATAAGATTTAACTAATACTTAACTAAAGACATCCAGTCAAAGCTATCAAAATTCTAAGTAGTTGGCCCCTATATATATTTATAATATAACGAATAAAAAATAAAATAAAAATAAATCGAATAAGCTAGGGAAGATATCAAGGGCCTGAAATACGGCCGAGCGTAGTAACAACTTAGATAGTCGTAGCCAAAAGGCAAACGTGCGCTAGTCAGAAACTCTGAGCCTCTCTCTCGAAGTCAGTGGAACTTCGACTTAAATACTACGCTTACTCATTTGTATTAAATACAATTTTAAAAACACATTCTGGCAGGAAATTGTAAGCTGAAATTAGGATGGACAGGAAAGTAGCTTTAACTAAAGATAACTGTTAAAAACTTAGGATAAGCCTTACAACTGATAGTCCGAAAGAAATCAGAAGGGAGTTCAAAATGAAATAACTCGTTTAAACAAATAAAATATGGAGTAATATCTGAGTACTAAAATGTTTCTCAGACTTGCCTTTTACTGGAATATTTAGTCAAATGTTTGGAAGTATATCTAATTATTGTTTGATAATTTTCCCATTACTTAAAAAACTTTCTAATCTGTCGCTGTTTGAGTAGTTTTATCCCCAAACGCCAGCTCAATATTCATTAAATAAAGAAAAAATGACAAGCAGGCTAAATTATTTTTCTGCTAGTTTCTTAATTCTTTGATTATAACAAAACAATAACAAAAAAAAAAACAAAAAAAATTATTTGTTGTGGAAGGAAACAGAAAAAGAAGAAGACGCCGTTTCCTTTTTAAAAAATACAAATTATTTTTAAAAATCTTTAAGTAAATTCAAATGTCTCGCTTCCTTGTTCAAGCGATTAAGATAAGAATCAATCTTTAAGCTTAACTACTAAAAAGCATGAAGCCATGAAAGAATTATTAACCATAATCCATGAAAGAACTAGTAAAATCTCACAGTTAAGGCACCGCATCACATTAACTCAATATGAATCGTATAATATCTCGTCTGGCATTTCGACCTTTATGACCTCATTTTATAAACCGGAAGCAAAGCTGAAAGTTTTAACAATCCCAACAACTCCTCAGTCATAATACAAATTGTTAAGTAACTTAAGTGAAGTCATTATGCAAAGAAAGCCAGTGATAAGTGTTCAGTGATCTCAATGATACTGAATAGCCGGAGGTTTCAAATAAACCTACATGCAATACGCCATTGGATATTAAAGGGGGAAATATGTTTTGAGGATACGTATCCAAGTAAAATAGAAATAAAAAT